GCTCAGGCAATCCACTCACCTCAGCCTCCCAAAGGCGCGGGATTACAAGCTGAGCCACCGAGCCCGGCTGGTTTGTTCGTTTTTAATCAAACAACATATACATTGGTTCCTAATTAGGGGGATTTCACCCTGCTAGTGCTTGATTAGAGCTTTGACTTCAGCCCTTTATATTAGAGATGGGGAAGAAAAAGCCAGAAAGTCAAATTTTTAATCACAGCAGCGTTAGAGTTAGCAAAGTAAAATCCCTCCTCTCATGAAGTTCAAGGATTAGTTTTAGTCACTGTCTCTCCCTCCCTTAAACATTTTGACCCCAATTCTGAACTCTTCCCCTTTAAGTCTTCCTCTGAGAGTATGAGGGTGAAGCACAAGCAGGCTCAGGAGGACCTGGAGGTGCTGTAAAAGGGCAAGTGTATCCAGTGGGTGAGTAGGCATTCACAACGGTGTCATCTGTTTGTCCTTCTGCCTCTGGCTATAGACATTTGCTGCCCTCTGGCTCACAACTCCACACCAGCCTGTGTGGCAGCTGCATTGGATCCGCTGACTTCCATGCTGGCTCCAGCAAGTGACTGGGTGGGAGCTAATCTCTGAGATCCCTGTCCCAGGGCTCGCCAAGCCACTAGCATGATTCCACTGACTTAGGCTGTTCTGCAGTGATCCCTGTCAGCCCTTCTCCTATCTGCCCCAACTTTCCCCACATCCACAAAATTCAATAAGCCTTCTACTGTCCATCCTTCATCCCTGAAGAGCTATGAGCATAGGGTCAGCATGGGGTAAATGCTTATTAAATGTGAGCTACTTTTACTGCCCTCTTATGCAGAGACACACATCAACTGAACTGTCAACCCGTGAACAGAAAGCGAGGATAGGTGGACCCATTGCCAAAAGATTTCTTTCCATAGGAAGCTCTCCCAGTGCACTCGAGTAGTAGTTTGCAGAGCTTTTGCTATTTAAGAGAGGCCAGAGATGAGAAATAAAGAGGCGACATGGCAGCAAACACGGGCTGTTAATATCACAATGGCAAATGGAATCTATTGCCTCAAAATGCAGTTTGCACAAAACTTTGGAAATGAGGCCATTGCACAAAGCGAGAGGACCTTGTATCTCTGCAGCGGTGGCTTTGTTTGTGAGTCTGCAGCCGTAATAGTAAGGGCCTCAGTCCTTCACAAGAACTCATTGCTCAAGCAATGACTTTGCTCCCAAGGCACACAGCTATGAAACAGGTGACCTTTGGTAACCCCTTTTAAAAATTTCTCCCCCTCTTCTTTCCCAGGGATTTGCCAAGGCAGTGGTTATTTCCAACCTGAGCAGAGCACTGCCAGGAGTGTCAGGGAGGTCTCTTGAGGGCTATAAGCGTCTCGTTGCAACCCACCGACACACTGAACCACTACCCTAGCCTGTGCACAAGTGCAAACAAGCACCATGAGACAAACTGCTTCCAACTCCTCTCTCATTTGCTATCAAATTACAGGGCGAGAGATCACAAAATTGCCTTCTGAAATAACGTTTCTCTTTTCTTTCTCTGGGTTTGGCAGGCCTGGTACTAACAACTCCTGGAGAAAAGAAGGGACCGGGGAGCAAAAGCACAGAGTTCTACAGTGAGCTGTGGTTCATAGTGCTGATGGCAATGCTGGGCTTGATCTTGTTGGCCATTTTCCTGTCCCTGATACTACAAAGAAAAATCCACAAAGAACCGTATATCAGAGAGAGACCTCCCTTGGTACCCCTTCAGAAAAGGATGTCTCCTTTGAGTGTCTATCCACCGGGGGAAAACCATATGGTATGTCTGTACAGGCGTGGCTCCATTTCTTCATCACTAGACTAGAATACCTGTCTTTCTTTTGAGAAAAATATTTCATAGCCATAGCAACAAGGAACTAGACGTCAGTTATGTTTGACTAAGGGTGGGGACTGAGGGAGCCTAATCCCAGAACAGCTTTCTCAACTTTGGCTGCCCATTAGAATCACCTGGGAAGCATTAAAAAATACTACTGCCTGGACTTTATCCCAGAAATTTTGATTTCATCAGTCTTGGATAGGGCCTGAGGATTGGTATCCTTTTTTCACTCTGAAAATGATTTTAATGTATACTCAGGGATTCGTTTTTCTGCCTAATAGTTGTAAGCCAGGGTGTGGTGGAGAAGAGTTGTATATTAAATCACCTGGGGGAACTTATAGGCTATATTACTGTGTGATTTAGGAGGATTGAAAATAAAAAGGGAAAGATGGGGAGGAAGGAGCTAAAGTGCTAGTGGTTCTCAGTCTGTCCATTAGCCCTGACACCCTGTGCCACTGAGAGTGGACGTTACCTCTAAGCTCCAGACCACCCATTCTCAATATAGGAGGTCCAGAAAGCATTGTGGGGGAGAGCCGCATCAACTGGTGGTGCAGAAAAGTCATTGCCCAGAGCACTCATTGAAGGAGTCAAATATGGCTCAATTCCATGGTGTGCTCTGGCATGGGGCTGTGGTCTACCTGAAGGAGGATAACTTGTATTTTCTAACCCTTACCAGGCATCTGTCTGCTCCCCAAGCTGTGTGCCCAAAGAGGTACATCTACCTGATGGGTACCTTTTTTTCCTGTTTGTGCAAAAGTTCTGTATGAGCTAGTGGCTATCCTTGTGGCACCAAAGTTAAGCACAGAAGCCTGGTTAAACATCTTAAGTTTCAACATTTTAAAAAGAAGAAATCCCAGCTACTTGGAAGGCTGAAGCGGAAGGATCCCCTGAGCACAGCAGGTCGAGGCTGTGGTGGCCATGAGTGTGCCACTGCACACCAGCCTGGGCAACAGAGTGAGACTCTGATTCAAAAAATAACAAAAAAAAGAAGAAAAGAATGAATATCAGTATTGTCTGCCTTCCAGACCTTGTCACTTTTACAGGACACAGTAGTGAATCATGTGGCCTCAAAGCTAGTTCAGACTCAAGCACCAGAAGTGTTGGGGGCATGAAAGGGAAGTAGGTCCTTTGAGGACCATGTTTTGAGGTTGGTGCAGGAAGCAGCAATGGGACAATGATGGGGTGGTGGAGGCTTCTCTTGGGTCAGATCTGTTCCACTCCTCTCATCACTCACTGTCCTTGGAACCTCCTTCTTCCCCAAGCCCATCAGACAAGCTTCTCCTGCAGGTCCATGGCTGCTGCTCCCTTGGGTGGCTCACACTCTGGCTTCATTCAGATCTCTGCACAAATGTCATCTCTTGTTCTATCCCTAGCTCCTTAATTCATTTTTTTCTTTTCCATAGCACTTAGCATGACACTAAATCAGATGTTTGTCTGAATTTTTAAATAGAACGTTGGCTTACAAGGTCAGGGATCTTGTGGGACACACACTGTTATATGTAACCCAGCATGCAGAACAGTGCCCAGCATATCATAGCCACTCCACAAATACTTTCTGAATGAATAAATGTTGAGAGTCCAGTTCAAACCCTGGATCATTTGCTCCTGTTCAGTGAATAGTCATTAGGAGATTCTTATTGAAGAGCAGATATTTCAGAGCTTTCCATTGTTAAAGAATAACTTCCTCTGAGAGGGGCTTGTTCTTAGATAAAGGATGCACCACTGTGAGAGGGAAGCTGTGAAACAGTGAAGAAGGCAGGAGGGATCTGCTTAGCCTGGGAGATTCACTAATCAATCATGAGGGCTATTGAGTGCAGAAAGAAAGTGGAAGGGAACTCTCCAAGCGCTTCTGGGTGCATCTACTCCATAACATGCAGTATGGTTACAGGAACACTTATTCTCATATCAGTAGTGTCCAGAGCTCATTTTGGGAATCAATTCTCCTGTTCCTTGACTCATTCTCTACAGGCAGGCACCTCTGCATCAGAATCCTCCATGAGGAGGAATACTGTCTTGCTTACTTGGTCAATTTAGTGACCAAGAAGCACTCACATCCTTCCTGTGGGGATGTTATATTATTCTGGACATAACCCATTCCTCAGGGTTTAATGAGTCTTGTTAAGCATTGTTTTGTCAAAGTGAGGTCCACAAACTATCTGCATCAGCATCACATAGGAGCAGGACCTTAATTTCTGAGGAAGAAACCCAGAAATCTGCCATTTTTTCACCAGAACCTCAGGAAGTCTGATACACAGTAAAAGTTGAGAACAACTGAAAATGAACTAAAAATATAACACAGATTCCCTAAACAGGGTGTTCTGTTTGATGACCAATAAAAACAGGTGGGAGGTGGTGCTGATTGGACCTTGTAGACCTCACATAACACAAGCTAAACTGTCTCTGGGGCCAAACATAGCCTTTAGCCGGGACAGGCAGACAAAATAATCGAAGCACCCTGCTCTCATACACCCTTTACCATCAGAGAGAAGCAGAGTGGCACCCAACGGATTAACTTTTACTGAGTGGCCAAACTGAGTGAGATATGAGGAGAAGAAGGAATGGAGAAATTAGCTGGGGACTGGCTGGCTGCAGGGCCTCTGGCCTCGAGAACCAGCTCACCCTTAGCTGGAAGGCTGCTCATTGTAAGCTGCTCTGAAGAGTTAGCAGAAGGGAAAGCTAGGGTGTGCCAGGGCACTGTGCAGTAGTCCCCCAGACCTGGTGAATCATAATCTAACCCTATCCAGTTGACAAAAGGTACTTGCAAGTCTTATTTTGCTGTTTTTTAAAAAAAGTAATTGCTCTCAATTCAAACTGCTCTCACAAACTTGGGGGCCTTGAGAGACAATAATTGAAGGTGAGCCCATTTAAACGGGAACACAAATTGCATTAGTTGAGCAAAATGAGGAGCCATTGTTGGTGACCATGGACTTCTCCTCTACTTAGATGGGGAAGAATCTGAACATGAACAAGCTGGATTCACCTATCAGTTTTCCAGCTTGACTTTCTTTTCACTTGAGTAGATTAATGAGCTGTGCCCCTGCAACACACATGCCCCTGCCCCTCATCTGATAAGCTCTGGTTTCAGTGCTGCTGTAACCCTCTTCTAAGTGCCCCTGACCACTGAACAGGTAAGGTACCCCTTTGAACATCAGACCCAGACTGGCAAAAGGATTTTAGGCTACACTCTGAACAGAGAGAAATAGGCAGAGGTGTCAGAGAATGAGGGAGACTTTTGTATTTCATTAACATTTTTCAAGGTCACACAGTATACAGTATAGCTAAGATCAAGGGCAGGTTTTACTCATAATTTAATTGTTTGTTTGAAGATTCATTTTCTACAACACTAAAAAATAATGCCAGTAGTACTTACCTTAGATACTAACCAACTAATTTCCACATACCATGTAGTTTTAACCATAAAACTGTACTATAAACATAGACACACACACACACAGAGGTATGTATATATCATAGGCTATATCTGTATTTTATGTCAGGATGGTATTAAATATGGGTATGATAGTGCTGTATTTGAAGAAATGCAAAGAACTTTTTAAAAAATGTTCAAAACACACACTGATGCTGCCATTTGTTCTCAGTTTGACTCTGTGGCTGATATATCTGATGTGTCAAGTAATGTCACCCTAAAAAGTTACACCATGCACTTTGAGGTACCTCTGTGTGCTGCATGACTGCATGATCTTTTGCATGGTGTGTCGACTGCATAATAAAAAGCATGGGCAATTAATTGGTTGGACCATCTAAATCAGAACCCTCAGATGTTTACAGCAGCTAGATTTTACCTTACGGCATATCTAAGTCTTAATCGTGGAATGACTTTGTCTTTCTGATGTTAATGTTATTATGAGAACAGGTTTAATTTGGAGGGGGTATCCTATAACAAGGGGAATGACAGGGAATGAGAAAAGAGAGAGGATTCAATTTCCCTTCACAAATTCAGGACTTTTAAAGTGAAATACAAACTGAGCTCACCTAGTGGGCAACCATGAAAGAACGCTGCTAGCTTTGATGGTGCTCTCAAGAGCTGTTCTCTAGAGGGAGGAGGCTCTGTGCTGACACACATGAACCAATTACCTTTTTAGCTCACCCTGCATCCTCCTTACCCCACAGGGACCAGTAGCCATAGCACCAGTGCATGATCTCTCTAGATGCCAAGAAACCAAGGGACACAGCGTTCTGGGTGCTCACAGCCACTAAAATCTATAGGAAGGCCTGAATACAGTTGTTCCCTTTATTGTGAACATGTGAGACACAGTACTCTGTCAGATTTCAAGCCCATGTTCTTTCCATGTAAATCACCCATAGCAACCTTCTTTACAGGGATTAGCCGATACCAAAATTCCCCGGTCTGGGACACCTATGAGTATTCGGAGCAATCGGAGCATGTCTGTCCTGCGTATCCCAAGCCAAAGCCAAGTCAGCCTAAACTACTCCCAGGGCTCTCTCCACCGCAGCGTCAGCCAGCTCATGGACATCCAGGACAAGAAAGCCTTGACGGACGACTCACTGTGGGAAACCATCATGGGTCACAACAGTGGGTTGGTGAGTTGGTTTCCTCATCAGAACCTTTGCTAAAGATCCCAGAAGAATACTGGTAGAGAGATGACTGGGTGCGAAGGCTCACTCCTGTAATCCTGCACTTTGGGAGGCCAAGGTGGGAGGATCACTTTAGGCCAGGAGTTCTAGACCAGCCTGGGCAACATAGCAGACTCTGTCTCTATTTAAAAAAAAAAAACAAAAAAAAAAACTGGGCATGATGGTGTATGGCTGTAGTCCCTACTCCAGAGGCTGAGGTGGGAGGAGCACTTGAGCCCAGGCATTTGAAGCTGTAGTGAGATATTTATTGTGCATCTCTTGAGAGAGAGAGAGACAAAGAGAGAGAGAGAGAGAATGAGAAAGACAAAATATGGGAATGGGAATAACACTTCCTGGACTTCATTGAAAGCTGCCCCACAACACTGAGTGTATGCCTCTGAGCACTTATCCAATTGTGTAGTAACCAACTTGTATTCTAGTGTACTCCAATTGTTTGATAAGCAGGGTAGAAACTTTGTCTTGTTCTTCCGGCACTCAATAGATGTTCACAGAATAAACGCATGAATAAGAAAACAAGTTACACTTCATTAATTTGGGCAGGTAGCTTGGAACTGGCCTAAAACAAGGCATAAAGTACACGTACCTGTTTTGCTAATTTAAAAAGAGGTGCATCACCGTTTTTCTACTCATTTATTGTTGGAGGCAGATCGTTTTCTATCAACAAGTTAAAATGGTTTCTTTCCAGAAAACTTAGAAAATGATAAATGAGGGTGTTACTATTCATGAGCTTCATCTTTCATAATTTCAGTCCAGTGGGTACAACAAATAATTGACCCTTTGAAAAGTGTCTTCATCATTATATAACATTTGTTACTAGCCCCTTAGTGGCTGATATAACTAAAATCCTAGAATTTTTACCAACCATCAGCTTCGGTGTACTAACTACCTAGATGAGTCAGCTGCAGCACCATTCCATCGGTCTGGATAACAGCTCATGAGCTGAGAACCTAGCTCCTCTCTTTACTCCTTTGGGGCAGAATTTATCCAACATCTGCTCTGCCTCTGGATCCTTACTCATCTTTCTCTCCCAAGCTCTCACTTTTCAACATTGAAAAGTTGATAACTTCCACGAAGTCTTTCTGGTCTAATGGTAAATAATAAAAGGAGTTCCTTGACTTCAGACTCCGTATCTTCATCAAAAAAAGAAAATGTACAGCCCTTCCTGCTTGTTCAGAATGATTATACATATAATATGCATTTTAGAGTCATGGGCCTGTTTGACGTTGTAACTATTCAATTTCATGATTCCATTTAAAATCTAAAGTTTTTAAATGGCAGGAATAATTATATTAGGTTTAACAAGGGATTGCTAATTGATCATTTTTTGACATGCAAGACAGCAATTTCAAGTGTTCAATATAATACGAGAGTTTAGTTGAATTATTTCACCTATCTTCACAAACTCTAGGAGGTAAGTGCCTCATTTTTACAAAAGGAACTGTGGTTTAGACACATTCATGATTTACCAAGGACACACAGCTAGCAATCTTGTCACGGGGCTGGGATCTTAGCATCATCTAACTACAGAGCTCCCATTTGTAACTATTATACTATATTTTCATTTTTGCTTGCTTTCTACAGCATTAGCAATAGGCAGTGTGCAAAGGGATTCAGTAAAATCTTTGGAAGATGCCAATACTTTGCAAGTTATCTGCTCACTATAACATTGTACCCAACATTACTAACCCTATTCAAGGAATACAAAATACAGTACAAGAGTGCGAAGAAATAGAGCATAAATACCTTGCATTCTGGCTCTTCCACTTACTCTTCGAACTAAATCTTAAAATATATGTGTTTATACATATATATGTGTATGTCTATAGAAATGTAGAAACTTCCCACTTAGCAGATAAGTAAACTGAGGCTTAGAATAGTTAAGATAGAGCGTTTAACATTAACACTCAGACCACATACATTTTGAATTCTATAGTTCATGTGTGCATGTGACACAATCCTTTCAATAAGATAAATTTAAAGTTTAAGGCAAGGACTGTGTCTTAAACCACACCATGTGGTGTTGAGCATAGGATGGTAAGCCTTTAATACTTACTGAGTACTCTGTACATTAAACTGATAGAATTACCAATTGATATCAAATATGGTTGACAGCAACTATCGTAGCCAATGATGGTCGACTTTTTTTTCAGTATGTGGATGAAGAGGACCTGATGAATGCCATCAAGGGCTTCAGCTCAGTGACCAAGGAACACACCACATTCACCGACACCCACCTGTAAATGATGGAAACCTGAAAATGGAACTCTGTAATGTAGGCTCCACACCCCACTCCTCCTGGGTTATCACTGACACATTATCATACCTGCTGAAAAGCCAGTTTGTGATTCCGTAATCCTTCAAAGAAATGACGATTGTTTTTGAGAGACCCTTCCTATAGAGGTCTAAGAAGTGTTATTTTTCTTGTCTGAAATGAGGGGGGTAATATTCATATGGAAATGCTTGTTTTATTCTGCTTATTTTGTGGACGATAAAGAGGCATGTAACTTTCACTTGGCTCTGTCTAGCAGTGATGCCACTAGTTAAATGAATCAGTGGCAATTTCAAGACAGCCCACAGAAGTAGTAAGTTAGTTATTGTTTTTAAAAGTAAGTGATTTTTCTAGAAGAATGTTGCTGCCATTCCTTTCCATTTGCTATTCTTTCAGGGTTGACACAATCCTGTAAAGAAAAGCTATTCTAATGATCATAGATGTGAAATGAAATCCTAATTTCAGGGCATACTGAATCAGAAAAACAAACTTTGTGCTGGTTCTACACACTTGCTGAAGGTTCTATTTAATTATAATATTTAGGGTTAAATATTCACCAAGCCTTTTGACAAAGCACCACATGCTTAGGCATAGTTATGTGTCAAATTCTTGCATTTATGAATCTTCTGAAAAATCAGAGTAAACAACTTATTTGTACATTTCAAAAAGAAAAGTTTCAACAGAAACATGTCCACTTGTACCAGTGGTTTTACTTCACATATTTTTCAGTTGAAACTCCAATTGGTACCTTTTGTAAAATTCTGCTAATTCACTAAATACCAGGAAACTGTTGTCCTATCTGCAATATTTTATTAGGCTACATGGAATTTTAAAAGGAAAAAATTTATGTGATCCTTCTAGTTTTGAAATTATCTAACATAGTCATATATAAATTCAAGACCATACTTACACTTGTACTCTATACTAAATCCATTTCAGAGAATAACTATTTTAGTCCTAGAATCAGTAAGAACAGATGATATACAACAATACCAATTTCCATAGTTCAGAAGTTTCTGTCATCTGCTCTATTTGGATTACAAAATCATTGGTGATACTTCTGTGGCAAGAAAAAAAAAAAACTTTTTTTTTTTCCTGAGTCATCAGCATAAAATTACATATTTAAATGTGTTCCTCATGAAAAAAAAAATTCTCTTCTTCCCTTCCTTCATCCTTGATGGTCTTATTGACTCCAGAAAGTCATTTTGAATGTAACTTTCTTATACATGACAGTCAAAATATTTTGTGAATCTACACTGTGAGGCAGGTGGGTTTTCGTAAAGCTGAGCTGGCGAAAACTTTTGAAGGGACAACCTTACTTATTCTGCCAGAAATCTATGAATTGCCCCGCCACGTGATCCAACTGTAAATTTGTGGACTTTGAGGGTATTGGGACTTCACCCAGCTCTGTGGGAAAGCAGCTCCTAGATTAAGCTTGCCAACCGTTAAGTGTCAAAAGCATAGACCAGTATTAAGCAGTTCTGCCTCTTTGTTGAAACTGCTATAAACAAGCAAATTTGAAATAACTGTGCATATTTGGCAGTGATTGTAAAAGTTATGAAAAAATATGTACTTTTTTCCTCGCCAAAAGCTTTATATTTTCTGAAACAGAAACAGGATTGGCTAATTGAGTTTACTGATTTTTATTCCCGTTTGCTGAATCTGGGTCAATGAGTTGTTTAAAGATGGCACCAGTAAGCCTTACCCAAGGCTGAGTGTCCACCTCACATGAGCTATGTAAGGTATATAGGGTAGAAGTGGTTCCAGACTTGTATCCTTATCATTGGTCTACTCTTCTGTGAATATGAATTGCTTGTCATAGGTAGATTCAGAAGACAGAGCTCATCCTCATTTTTGTAATCTAGTTACCTTTATCACTGTATTTTTTAAAAGTACAGTATAAAGAACTGCAGAGGATTTCATCTTAAATCATTTTCTTAAACATCAAAATAGACATTTAGTTATTATAAGGATTCAGTTAGATGAGTCATTTACATTTTGATCCCATAGCTCAGGGCAGACAGAAGCCCATGTGGTATCTGCCCACAACACTGTCCCCTGCTACACTCCCAACCTTACTTGTACTGGTTTCAGAGAATTCTAACATGTTCTGCTACTTTAAGTGGTATTGGGTGCCAAGCCTCCAGTATACAAACTATGTAGATACACCCCTAGAGATCCTGATTCAATGGGTGTGGGTTGGGGCTGAGGCATCAGTACTTTTTAAAGCTTCCCATTGTTCCTAGTGTTGAGTCAATGACATAATGCAGCATGAAGGTATCTTGTACAGGAGCAATATGCTACACACAGAGACCATGCTCCTTGGCTTACCACTTCCTCCTTACAGAAAAACCAATGAGCAGTTCTCCATAAACCTCTTTAAATGTGTTCTACATCTCCTAATTTATGTCTTATCATGTGCACAGGCCATGTCCTCAGCTTAAGAACTTCCATGTTGTTATTCCTAATATTCATTGTTTGATAAGAGAACATAGTTACGTTTTTATAAACTCTCGTAAAAACTGCTTTTATAGATAATACATTGTAATTTCTACTAAACGGAGAACCTAAACACCAATCTGTTATGGTACCTTATACTAATGTAAAAATTACTGACGTCCGTATGCAATAATTCAACCTGAATAACCTGAAAATAAAATATAGGTCAGGGGAAATAATTCAGTAATAACAAATTTATGTCACAAATAGTAGTTGATTTCTAGTGCACAAATACCATGTAAATTAAAGATGGCTTAATAAATATTTAAATGTGAACCAAGTTTGATTTAATATAGTATTAAAAATATACTCTAAACAGCTCTGAGTTACACATAAGTGATGATGATAAAGGTGCACTCATTTAGGAAAATAGGGAGTCCTGGGTAATTTTTCAACCACCAATGTACATTTGAATCAACTGTAATAATTTTTTCAAAATACTGTTATGAATCCCAATCACTAGAAATTCAAATTCAGCAGAACTGGCGAGACCTGGGCAACTCTGTGTGTCTAACCTCAGGTGTTTCTGATACAGAAACCTGGGTTCAAAAGTTGGCTCAGTAGCTGACGAGTCTTGTCACTGGCTAAGCCCTATCCTCTCTGGGTCTCAGTGACCTCATCTGTGAAATGAGGATAACCATATTTATCTTATTGGTATAACCATACTTTGAATTTAGTACAAAATTACTTTAAAAAGTATCCCCAAGAGAATTATAATTCTTTTCAATTTTTATCAATCACACAAAGTATATAGAGTTATTGCATTTCTTTTTTCAGCTACAGCAACCCTAGTGAGTTAGGTATGTAAAATGAAAAACTGTAGGCAGAGTGGGGATAATCTACACAAGGTTACAAAGTACAGTGTCAGAGCAGTCTCAGACATCAAGGTTCAACCTTTTATAAGCAAAAGAAAGAATCAAGATTTGACTTGTAGTATAATGCAATCTATGGTATAGTGCTTTCTTATGGGATTTTATCATGTAATAGTCATCACCTTTTAAAAAAAATGTTCTTTTATTCTTGGCCAATATTCTATTTTTTTCCTTTAATTTTCTTACTTGCCCACCCAATTCACACATAACTGTGATAATGAGGAAGATGGGTATAAGAGATAATTATAATCTTAGTAATTTTGAAAATATGCTTTGCCTAATATTTTCTGGACTGATGGTATAACAGTTTTCACATATATTAAGTTCTCCTTTTTCTTTTTTTACTATGGCAAGAAGCAAAGAAATGTACAAACACACATAAGCACACTTTAGACAGGAAAATTGTTCCATAAATAATTGAAAACATGTCCTAATAATTTTTATTAGATTTAATTGAGAAATAAATACAAGAGAACTGTTGTGAAACCACTGGCAATATAGTAAACTTTAAGGATTTATTTCAACTTTACTCACTTATTATATTTCTTGAAATGGGAATATATACATTATTCACCAATAAAAGCTAATGCTTTAAATTTACAATTGCTCTATTTGTAGAAACTTGAAATTCATTCCAATTAAATGAAAAAAATGTACAACAAAGTTCTTTTTTTCTTACAATTCAAAATATCTTCAAATTAACATTTTTACAGCAGTCAAACCCTTTAACCAAAAATTCAGAACTGCAGTCATATAGGTACAACTAAATGGCCACATTTTATGTCTTGACTTTTAACACTAAAACAAAAATATGGTGGTTCTTTATACAAGACAAGTTAGCAACTGGTATAGTTTGACCTTCTGAGCATTCAAAGTTTTGCCCTTGATTATTATTTTCATTTCACTTTTTCAAACACAGACAATTGCTCCAACTTAACAGAAAGTTGGCATTTAATATTAGTGATGCTCGTTAAGAACTTCCAAGAATGAGAGGCAGAAAATGATCCACAATAAAAATAAAATTATCCTAAAGTACTACATAGTGGTATCTGGTATTCGGTATCAATAGTGTTTTTGAATTACATGGTATTTTTTTTCACAAACATAGCACCTCATCAAATATCTGGTAAACACTTTGTAACCACAATAAGGGTTGGGAGACCAAGTTCCAAAGACAATTATGTGACTCACTGAAGATAACATTGCAAGACAAGTCTCAGGCATAATCAAGATTAGGAATGGAGTCTGCTGGTTCCCATGCTTTAAGGGAATGCTCATCGATATGGGCACCATCCTATTAAATCATGGTATTATGTTTCCAAAACCAACAAAAAAGTAGGTAAATGTTAAAATGAACTCCTGTCTTACAAATGATCTGTTAAATGTATTTTAAAACTAAAAAAAAAATTCCAAAATGTCAAGATGTGGTTATTATATCTTCTTATTCCTGGTAATTCTGTTAAAAAGATACTAATAAAGTCTAATTTTCTCTTGTAAAGTTTTAGTGTAAAAACTAGTGTATTGAAATCAGGAGAGTTTAATTTTCATCTAAATTTAGCAAAACAACTATTCATTTTGGTGAGTTTTCACAAGCTGTACT